AAAAAAAAAAAAAAAGAATACATTTTCAAGAAGAGCGGCCAAAAATTTATACTCCAGGAAGGAACTCAGTGAACAGACAGTTTTCAAGTAAATATTTTAACAGATAAACTATACAGTGAGCCAAAACATTACGGTTCAGAAAAGGGCGGAATTCGAATACGTTTAAAAATTTCACTTGTTCATTCATACAATAACGGTCACAAATGATGGAAGTGCACTTACCAGGTTATTCCCAATGTCGGACAGCGGCTTCCTCACGGTCTCAGCATCATTCGGGCCAGCGGGCTTCTCAGAAAAAGCAGTTTGAAGCAGCATTGCACCATGAGAAGCAAGTTCATCATTATTCCTCTCCTTTTCATCTCTTTCGAACATATTTCCAGAAGACTCCTTCCTGTTGCCACATTTGGTGGGCCCGCAGCTACAGTAGTTGCTGCAGCTACCCATTACGGCCCGACACTCACACTTTGGCGGCTTGCAGAAGGAATTTCGACTGCATGAACAACAAATTGACTCGACCAGTTTCTCCTTCCTTCTAGCTTGACGACCTTTTCTCTGTACTGTGTCCCCACTCAACATCTTCCTTTGACTCAGACTCATCTGATGTGTCCATGTCCTCCAGTAGCTCGGACTCATAAACTCCACTACTGCTTGAGCAGTTACGAGATCCCTAAGTATAAAATTATTGATGCAAATGAATACCAAACAGTGGTAAAACGCATGATACAAGTTGAGTGGACAACTGATCAACAATGTAGATTACACAAATGATAGCATGACTTGGCATATTTACATACCTTAGATCGTAAGACATAACCAGAGCCCACTTTTGTTTCACTGGATGGTCTCACCACCAAATTTTCCTGACGGCTGAGTTCGGTCTTTTTATGCTCCTATAAATCTCTAATTTCCAATCTCTCTCTACAGTCAAATTCTCTATCTTTTAGATGACATCTGCGGGAAAGGGCAAGTAGGAAGCAATTGTCAGCTATAATTTAAAAATACCAGACTTCAAAAGAATTTTCTACTTCAGAAATGCAAATTACCTGGATGAGGATGCAACATTGAAAAGGAAATTCATTATATTTTTTTCTTCTGGAAGTGAACGGATATTCTTCCACCGTCCTCTGCCACTAAACGCCCTCTCACGCTCCTCAGCTTCTGACAATTGAGATGCCATGGAAACAAGGGCACTTGAAGAAGTAGAAAGCATGTTTTCAACGGCATGGATCCTAGAGTTTCTAGCACCAAGGGACATTGACTGGGGGGTTTCACTACAATGGAGGAAGTTGGTTAACTGCTTAGTTAATAAGGGCGTGATTGTACATGCATTGTACAGTAAATATCTCACTCAAACTCAAATTTAGCTCAATTTTAACTCAACTCCACTATCTCCAATATTATCAATATAATTAAATAATATCAACCAATCATTATTACAAATCACATCAACTTTAATTCACTATTCATTCACTCACATAATAACTAACCATCACTTCCAATCATTTTCTCCTACTTTTACAACAAATCAACTTTAATTATTTTAATTTAAATAATTTTTTAATATATCTACTAACAACTAACAATACTACTTTTTTTTCAACCTTAACTATAGTTAAAACAAAACTAGTTTTTTATTGGTTGAATTCATATCCAATCACCCCCTAAGTATCTCAAACAAATATACTAAAAAAGGTAAAAGGAAATATAGAATAAAGGAATAAATACAAAATTTAGAACAACTCATCATTTCATACCTTAGCTTCTGCTCGCAATCTCCTCAGCCATTTTAGACCTCCTACATGCATACAAAAATATATATATATCAATAAGTAAAAGCTTATTTTACAATCTTATTATTTATTTTTCAGCTAAAGATTTAAATGACAATCATAGAGTATAACAGCAAGAATGTTCTTTAAATTGCAGTAACATCATTGTCATTTTGTTTTTTTTTTATTTCAATGCATTAGACTCGTTTCTAGTCACAACTTAGCTTTATTCGTTACTTGACTAAACGTGGTCTAAACATGGCATCTCCGTAAAACATCATTGTATTCGGAATGTGGGCATACATATAAAGGGGTGAAAAGGCATACTACTACCACCAGATAACCTATGATATTTGTTTGGCCCAAACCAAACACCATTCCTTGTGCAGGGTTGCCCTTCCTTTACTTTGATTTTATTTACAAAAATCATAAATGTTTCATAACTGTAGTTATTTCGCTTTTCAAAGTATATTAAAAAATAAAAAGAGAAGATTTTTTAAACACATATTAAGTCCTTATCCCGAGCCTTGTAGGTCATGGTATACTATTTTTTTCAAGTGTTACAATCAGGGTATCAATTCTTGGGAATCTTTTAGTTTATTTGTTTTTCTTTAAAAATCCCTCTACTTCATTCCTTCCAACTTGCTGAAAAGAAAAGGAAAATACAAACAGAAAAAGAATGAAAATTTTGAAAGAGTGATTTCGTTTACTCTTTCATTTGCCGCTCATATTCTGACCGCACTTCATGGACTCTTACAGTAACCTCAAGCTCGCTCAATAGCTTGCACAAGTGCCTAGACAACAAAGAAAGATATCAATAGCACGCTGGGTCAGATGCTTATAGTTAGTTTTATATTCTTGTAGAGCCTCTTGTAATTCCATTTTACTTTCTTCAAGTAAAGATATTTTGTGTTTGAGAATCTGTAATCCAAAAAGTTACAGACATCAAAAATATAATCATGAATGCAATACTTATCACTCTACACAAACCTACAAATATATAATTTTAGCTAATATGGACTCTTAGAAAACAAGTTTGAAATGAACTGATATAGACCGTGAGCATTTCATACTTGGATTTCTTCAGCTGGTGCACTACAGTCCCCGCGAAAGTAAAGCAACTCTGCTTGCAATTGTTCAATCTGACTCCGCATGCTTTGCAATTGTGCCACCGCAGGATCACGGTTGATCTACAAATTTAAAAGAGCAAAATTCGGCATACAATGTACATTTTAATTTCTTTTTGAAATTGGATCATCCACAACAATTTACAGAATAAATATTTCTATAGATCGAAGCTTACAATTGCTTTATTCTGAATGTTCCATGCACGGTTTGCATAGTTCAAGGTATTAAGTGTTTCCTCAGCATTTGTGTCAGCGGGGATGATACATGCTGCAACAGTGCAACACATGAAAAATTTAGTCAGCAGAAGATAGTTCATACATATTAAAATAGCCATACGTGCATATTCCAACCATAAAATGAGAACATATGTAAAAGTAAACCAATCATGATTGTTTTGCTGTTTCCACCAAGAGAATCCTGCATAGATCAAGCACCAATTAGCTCTGTAAGTCCATGAATAAGAATTCTTTTGCAGAAGACTTTCTCAAAAGAAATGTGATGATTGAAATATAAAATATCTTGACAAGCAAAAGATAGTTAATTAAACTAGAACTGCTCAAATTAATATCCGATATTTCTCAATTAAATTTGATGGTATCAAGACTGAGTTAACTTGCCTGCAGTATCCGTGTTAACTTGCTGTCACGGTAAGGAACATGACCACCCTCCTTTCTCTTCTTCTCATCCCCTAAGGCACTAATAACATTACCAAGAGCCAGCAAACCCTTATTGATATTAATACCTGGGGCACATAAAAATAGAAGGTAGAATAATTCAGTCATCCACAACTGACAAACCGAAAAGCAAGATTTATATCAGGATAAGATGTTCTCATGTATCTCAAAATATATCTTAAAGCAGACTGGTCAAAAGAAGAACAAGGGAAACCGAATCATATTAGGTGTCGTGCTGTTTAATGTTCAATGAGGATAAAGATAAAATAATTCACAGTTTTTAGTTAAAAAATAAGTAAATAACTTAACATGCATACATTTACATAGGTGAACTGTAAAGAATATCACAAACAAGAGAAAACTAGAAAAGAAAATAAATGGAAAATAAGAATACATACGCACTACATAAACAATTACCTTCCTGCAAGCGAGTCCCATCTGCACCAGTTCGTTTTGCACATTCAGAGCCGGCAAGATCTACCAAGTGAAGCTTCGCAACCAGAAGATCATCAGCATCATCACCAGCTGATGTTTGAGGTGTTCGTTTTTGTTCCATTGAGATTGCGAAAATGGCATGTGAACGGCTGAGAGGAAAATATTGGTAAAAAGAATGTTATGCAAATTGAAATCAAACTTTTGGACTCTCATATTCAAACAAACTGCTCCATTAATAATGATAAAAATAATCATCCATAAACTGATGCTACCTCACTTTAAAATTGTAGCTAGCTAAGAAAGGAAACATGATGATTAGAGCTAATCAACTTCATTTGCTTACACGAACGACTTGATTAACTTAACTGAAAAGTACTAAATATGAAGTAGAGAGAAAAGCACTTCGATTGAGTATTCATGTTTGTGCTCCCTGTGGCACGACATAATGAACCTTGCAGCAAATATGAAGCCATATCTTCCTTTGTCCTCACCACTGCCACTGGCAAGTGCAATCCCTCCACTCACTCTAGTCGGTGTTACAGAGGCAGTGTGAGGACAAAGGAAGAAGTGGCTTGATATTGCCGCAACCCTCACGCTCTGTGAAGCCTCGTGTTCCATTTTCGCAAACCAAGAGTCGTCTTCACTAGCACCCAAACCCTAACGCCTCAATCTGAAGTTTAGAGGAAAAATCAAGCCCAGCAGCGTTAGCAAAACTAGGGTAACGAACCACATTTCAAAAATTTTCAATGAAATAATGATTTACAAATGGGGGAAAATATTAGCGCACAAAATGAATCGAAAGAGCAACAAAATGGAATACATTTTCTTAGCTGAAAAAGGAAAAGCCGACTGAATTGAGTTCAACTGAGTGGCGTTGGAGTGAATGTGAGCGGCTATCTCATTTGAAATCTGGAAGAAAGAGAAAGGATGATGGTGGAAGAAAAAGTGATAGAGGAGAGATTGAGCGAGAGATATGAAGAGTTGGAGAGGAAAAGAAAACCAAACAAAATTATTATTGATTGAATGAATGAATGTTTAAACTGGTATAATGAGTATTTATACCTAGGGTTTGATCAATGCTATTTACATAAGGAATATGAATGTAAGAGATAGAGAGACTAACAACTATCTATAAATGAGCAATTTACCAATAAAAAAAAAAATAAAAAAACATGTGGACAAAAAAAAAAGAAAAAAAAGGGAGTGGACAAAAACGTATTCCTTAAATACGTTTTTTCAGAAATTTTTTCAAAAAAAACGTATTCAATGAATATGTTTTACAATTAAAAAAATGGTAAAACATATTCATTGAATACGGGCTTTTTATTATGGTTCACTCTCATTTGTTTGTGTATTTTTTTTCCACAACTTAACTTTTTTATAATTTTTTAGTAAAAAATTCATCTATAAATATATAATCTATAAATATATAATAAGAATTAACATTTTTCAAAAATAGCAACTTAATTTTTGGTCAAACCTCTTTCTTCATTAATTGTTTTTCATAAATGGTAACTTCTTTTTCCTTTTTTTTCACGTATAGAAATAATTGCAATCAACATGTTCACATTGCATGCCCATTAGACTATCTTTATCAGCAACATAAACCAACCCAACCTAATAATTAAAAATTATTTCTCTCTCCTCCACCTACACAACTCAACCTTATAATCCAATTTATCTTTATCCTCAACCCAACTCAACCTAAATATTTATTTTATTTATAAATTATAATTTTATTCCAAAATATATCAAGTGTGGTCTCTATTTATAGAGAATGAAAAAATATAAATTTTAATATATTTTTTATTTTTTTTAAATAAAAAAAAATACACTTATCCATCAAAATGGGACAAATGTCCCATTAACAGGTCGCGACCCAAGGTCACAATGTGACCTGGGTCACGA